CAAAGTATTTGAGCAAAGATAATGTGTGTAAATCAGAGACACAGCCAACTTATGGTAGATGTATTAGTCTATTCTCACACCACTAATAAAGACATACCTGAGATTGGAAATTTATAAAGGAAAGAGGTTTAATGGACTCACAGTTTTACATGGCTGGGGAGGCCTCACAATCACGGCAAAAGGCAAAGGAGAAGCAAAGGCACATCTTACATGGTGGCAAGCAAGAGAGCTTGTGCAGGGGAACTCCCATTTATAAAACCATGAGCTCTTATGAGACTAATTCACTACCGTGAGAACAGTACGGGGGAAACTGCCCCCATGATTCAATCTGACCCCATCCTTGACATGTGGGGATTATTACAATTCAAGGTGAGATTTGAGTGGGGACACAACCAAACCATATGAGTGGACATGCAATATGAGTGAGAAACAATTCTGTGGTTGTAACCCAGTAAGACTTTTGGATGGCTAACACAGCATAACCTAGAGTATACGGAAATGTGCATTTCCAGCTCTTTAACTTCCAGGTACCTAGTAGGATTGCACTTTCCTGCACCCCTTAAGTAAGGCATAGTCATGTGACTTATTTTAGCCAATAACATGTAAATACAATAAAAAAGTGTCATTCCTAGGAGGGAGCTTTTAAAACCAATATGAGTTCACCAAAGTGATGGAATGATTGTTGAAGCATGTGTCAAGACGAAACCTTCTTCAGACTAGGTTTCTAAATGAGCACATTAAGCAGAGCCCCATGAACTTGAACATGTAGTATGAGCAAAATATAAAATTTACTGTTAAGCCACTGAGATTTTAGGATTGTTTGTTATGGCAGCATAACCTAAACCATCCTGACTGATATAAAAATTGGCTCCTAGATATGGGTTAGTGTAGTAACAACAATAAGCATAACAACAATAAAACTAAACAATCATTTAGAGGGAGATAACTAAGAACACTGCTATCAGAAGCTGAAGGGATGGTGATCTGTTTGGTAAACAGATCACGTGTGATAATGCAGAAGGCAGATCATGAACCTGATGAACTAAAGCAAAGGATTGTAAAACAGAAAGTGAGTAGTGTGTGTTGGTGGCTGTTGGATGCATTCTGAAAGTTACTACAAGCTATTCAAAGATGAACTCAGAAAAATTTGGCCTGTTTGCAATTAGGAATGAAATGGAATAGAGAAAATCTATAAATCCAGGGATTTATATCATTAAAAGAGGCAATTGTTTCCCAGTCCCAACTAGTAAAATATAAAATCAAGAAATACTTCTAGCAAGAAAGGACCTGGAAGAAACTCACCTTTGAAGGAAGGATCAAGTCACAAAGTATGAACCTACTATTAAAACCTCAGGATAGGAGGCCAAGGAAGGTGGATCACCTGAGGTTGGGAGTTCGAGACAAGCCTGACCAACATGGAAAAATTCCGTCTCTACTAAAAATACAAAAGTAGCCAGGCGTGGTGGTGCATGCCTGTAATTCCAGCTACTCAGGAGGCTGAGGCAGGAGAATCGCTTGAACCCGGGAGGTAGAGCTTGCAGTGAGCCGAGATCGTGCCATTGCACTCCAGCCAGACCAACAAGAGCAAAATTCCATCTCAGAAAAAAAAAAAACAGGATCAATTAAGATCTTACCCAGCATATGCTTTCAACTGGACAAAATGGCTCTGGGAAAAGGAAGAAAGGTCTAACTCTCCCACCAAAACCCAGTAAGCCCAAAGTGCTCAAAATCAAGTGAAGAGCAAGAGAGTAAGACAGCAGAAGAGAGACAGAGGAGTCAACAGGCAGGATAGCAGGAAAACAAAGAGATATGGCAAACCAAAGAAGTATATCCGGAAAAGAATTTTGTGGCTATTGGCACATGGAACACCTTATATCAGATAGATGAGAAGCCTACCTACACATATTCAATACTTAATGTCACTCTGCATCTCCCCAACTTTTAAAAGCTTCTTTAAAAGCATATTTTCCAATGCCTGCTTTAGCTGTGGAAAAGGAAGACTCTCCGAAGGCAAATCCAGGAATCATGGACAACAATGGACAGGGCAGCTTGGTGCTGTGACCACATGGGTCTTTAAGGTTGTCTCCCTTGAAAAAAGAACGAGGGAATTCCACTAGGGGAAGGAGAGAAGACCGAACATTTGGTGAACAGAAAGGGAGATAGAGTCTTTAGTGCTATTCCCCAAATATTCCTGGAGATCCCTTTGAGACACCTGGTAGGATTACAGTGACCTAAAGCTAGGCATGGCCATGTAACAGCTTTGGCCAATGATGTATGAGCAGAAGTGATGTGTGCCATTTCCAGGTGGATGCTCTGACAGCCATGATGTTCCGAGTTCCTTCCCCACAGTCAGGATAGCCTTGAAAAGGGGTATCAAGACGAGGCCTCCTTGAGCCTGAGCCCTTGAGTGGCTACAATGAGCAGAGCTACCCTGCCAACCTACAATGGTCATGTAGCGGAAATGACAAACTTTCACTGGAATAAACCACTGATATGTTAGGGTTGTTTGTTACGGGAGCACAACACTGCCTTTCCTGACAGAACTGGGAGTGACAGATAAGGCTGGAGAGAGAAGTTAGATTGCGAAAAGCCCCTTCTCCCAGGCATAGGAATCGGAACACTCCTGGTTGTAAGGAAAAGCCAATGAAGGCTTCCAAGCAGGGGCGTTAACATGAACAGATTTGTTATTTTTTTTGGATGAAATATGCTATTTCTCAACATAAGGAGAAGATCAGCCTACTAAACCACATGAGGCACAGAGGAACACACAGAACCCTTAGGTAAAAGATATATATTTATACAAAGTCCTAAGTCTTGAAATTTCTAAATACAGGAACTCTGAATGGAGTTATAGTCAGAGGATCAGGCAAGAAAATTTCTTTTATGCCACAAACGCTATTTCCTCTGCAGATAACTAATACTCCACAAGAAAGTTTGCCAGAGTAGAGAAAATACAAAGGAATGTAACACAGACCTGAGGTCAATTTCCAGGTGCCTGTGTGACCCGAACAAAGATACTTAACCTCTCTGGGCCTATTTCCTCACATGTTAAATCTGGTAATAATATATGTCTCTCAAGATGGTTGTGGGGAGAAAACAGCATATTTAAATTAGGAGAATGCCTGGCAGATAAGTGTTTAATACATGAAACTTGTTTTTATTGCTGTTATAAAAAAATATTTAGAACACCAGCTCCCTGATTACAACAGAAAATTATTCAGGGCAACAGACAGAGGAGAATGTTCTCTCCTTGAGGAAGTAACTGGATCTTGTCATCACTGTAAACCTACCCCACCCCCTCCCCAGCTCAGCGCCTGGCTCACAGTAGGCTTTCAGTTACCCTCTGCAGATCAGTGAAAGCTAGGTGAGTGCCCGGAGTGAAGAAAAGTTGGCAGGTTTCCCACTGATACCAGCTGCTGTTGGTTTCTGAACACTCAAAGCCGCAAATACCTTAGGGCTGGGGGCAATGAACCCTAGGCTGAATTCCAAGTTCAGAAACAGTGAAGTCTGAATTTAGAACCTAGGAACTTAAACTGCTGCAGGTCCAACTTCAAGCCCCAGTTCTAGACAGAGGCTTGGGAAAGAGCTGACTTCTAACCCTGTTCCCCCTCTCCTCCTCCCCTCGAAGCTTCTCACAGGAAAGTACACCTGGTCCTGCCAAATCGCACTCTTATATCCTGGCATCCTATCCAGGCTCTGCGAGGATGGAAACCGCGAGGCAGGGAAGGGAAGCGGGCTGTTTGGCCATCACCTCCCTAGTGCTGCAGGCGACCCTGTCACGCTAACTCCCGGCTGCCCGGTGATGTGGACGGCACCGGTCCCACCTGCAGATGAGGGAAATGAAGCTCAGAGGAGTTCCGTGATTTGCTCGCTTCACACTGTTGCAGCCTGGCCACGAAAGAACCAGGATTCCCGACTTCGGGATTCTTTCCACCACACACTTTCGTCCCTAAGGGGTGGGGGGCGGGGGGGAGATAAAATAACAACCGCGGAAAAGGAACCACTTACATGTGTCTAGCGCTTCCTAGAGGCTACTCAGGATATGGGCCCACCACCCGGCCGGGAAGGCAGAGATTTGAAGTCCAGGTTCTACCCCGGGCTCCTGAGTTCTACTGCGTTACTTTATGCGAGTGTCCCCCGCCTTCTGAGCTTGTTTTCCCGGAAGCAACTCGGCGCGGGTGGAGAGAGTGTGTGTGCGTGTGTGTGTGTGTGCGTGCGCGCGCATGTTGTGCGTGTTGTGTTAAGCGTGTGTGTGTTGTCCGGGGGCGGGAAGGGGAGTAGACTAACACCGGGGTTCCCTGAGTTTCGGATCGCCTACACGCTTGTTCCCATCTGGACCCTGTTACCCACTAATTGCGCCCACTATAAAAACTGCCCCTCGGAGGCAAAGCTGTGATCCCCCGCGCCCTTTCCCCCACGGTCCCGGAGGATGAAGTGGGGTGCAACGGAGACTCAGCTGAGCGTCCAGTTTCGGGCAATAGAAATCTCTCAGCTTCTAAGAGCAGCCAGACAACCCCGCGGACCATCGCTCCTGAACTTGACCGAGATGCAAACTTTGGAGCGTTCTCAACGTGGGGGGCCGACTCTCGGGAGACCGCCCCCAAACTTAAGCCCCCTTAGGCTCGCCCCCAACTGGGACTTCACAGAGCCACCTTAAGGGCGGTGCTCCCGCCCCCCGGAAGTGCGGGGGGGCGGCGGACCTGGACTCTCAGCCTCCCGCCCCGCGCGGTGGCGGACGCCGGTGGGTGACTTCGAGCCCCACAAGTGGGGAAACACCACCACCCCTCGCCCGCACCCTTGACCCAAAACAACTGGCCGGGTTCCCTGGCCTCCCGGGTTCCCGCATCCCCTGCATCCCAGTCCGCAGTCGTGAACTTGAGCCCCCTCCGTCAGAGGTTGCGAGCGCCCGCCCGCTCGCGGCAGCCACCGTCACTAGACAGTCAAACCCCAAGACGTCAGCCCACAATGCACCGGGCGGGCCGGGAAAAACGGCCCGGGGAGGGGACCGGGGAAGAGAGGGCCGAGAGGCGTGCGGCAGGGGGGAGGGTAGGAGAAAGAAGGGCCCGACTGTAGGAGGGCAGCGGAGCATTACCTCATCCCGTGAGCCTCCGCGGGCCCAGAGAAGAATCTTCTAGGGTGGAGTCTCCATGGTGACGGGCGGGCCCGCCCCCCTGAGAGCGACGCGAGCCAATGGGAAGGCCTTGGGGTGACATCATGGGCTATTTTTAGGGGTTGACTGGTAGCAGATAAGTGTTGAGCTCGAGCTGGATAAGGGCTCAGAGTTGCACTGAGTGTGGCTGAAGCAGCGAGGCGGGAGTGGAGGTGCGCGGACTCAGGCAGGCAGACAGACACAGCCAGCCAGCCAGCCAGCCAGGACGGCAGTATAGTCCGAACTGCAAATCTTATTTTCTTTTCCACCTTCTCCCCAACTGCCCAGAGCTAGCGCCTGTGGCTCCCGGGCTGGTGTTACAAGGAGTGCCCAGAGAGCCTGGTCTCCAGCCGCCCCCGGGAGGAGAGCCCTGCTGCCCAGGCGCTGTTGACAGCGGCGGCGAGCAGCGGTACCCACGCGCCCGCCGGGGGAAGTCGGCGAGCGACTGCAGCAGCAAAGAACTTTCCCGGCCGGGAGGACCGGAGACAACTGGCCCAGAGTCCCGGAGCGAACTTTTGCAAGCCTTTCCTGCGTCTTAGGCTATTTTCGGCGGCGGTAAAGACCAGGAGGCGGCGGACAGCCACGCGAAAGAAGAAGGACGTGCGCTCAGCTTCGCTCGCACCGGTTGCTGAACTTGGGCGAGCGCGAGCCGCGGCTGCCGGGCGCCCCCTCCCCCTCGCAGCGGAGGAGGGGACAAGTCGTCGGAGTCCGGGCGGCCGAGACCCGCCGCTGGTCGGCCTCTGCGGGTCGGCACTGATCCGCGCCGCCGGGAGAGCCGCTGCTCTGGGAAGCGAGTTCGCCCGCGGACTCCAAGGAACGGCGACTTCCGAAGAGCGCTCAGTGAGTGACCGCGACTTTTCAAAGCCGGGTAGCGCGCGCGCGAGTCGACAAGTAAGAGTGCGGGAGGCATCTTAATTAACCCTGCGCTCCCTGGAGCGAGCTGGTGAGGAGGGCGCAGCGGGGACGACAACCAGCGGGTGCGCGCGCTCTTAGAGAAACTTTCCCTGCCAAAGGCCCCGGGGGGCACGGGTGTCCCCCGCTTGCCAGAGCGCTGTTGCGGCCCCGAAACTTCAGCACGCAGCCCAAACTAACCTCACGTGAAGTGACGGACTGTTCTATGACTGCAAAGATGGAAACGACCTTCTATGATGATGCCCTCAACGCCTCGTTCCTCCCGTCCGAGAGCGGAGCTTATGGCTACAGTAACCCCAAGATCCTGAAACAGAGCATGACCCTGAACCTGGCCGACCCAGTGGGGAGCCTGAAGCCGCACCTCCGCGCCAAGAACTCGGACCTCCTCACCTCGCCCGACGTGGGGCTGCTCAAGCTGGCGTCGCCCGAGCTGGAGCGCCTGATAATCCAGTCCAGCAACGGGCACATCACCACCACGCCGACCCCCACCCAGTTCCTGTGCCCCAAGAACGTGACAGACGAGCAGGAGGGCTTCGCCGAGGGCTTCGTGCGCGCCCTGGCCGAACTGCACAGCCAGAACACGCTGCCCAGCGTCACGTCAGCGGCGCAGCCGGTCAGCGGGGCGGGCATGGTAGCTCCAGCGGTAGCCTCGGTGGCAGGGGGCAGCGGCAGCGGAGGCTTCAGCGCCAGCCTGCACAGCGAGCCGCCCGTCTACGCCAACCTCAGCAACTTCAACCCAGGCGCGCTGAGCAGCGGCGGCGGGGCGCCCTCCTACGGCGCGGCCGGCCTGGCCTTTCCCGCGCAACCCCAGCAACAGCAGCAGCCGCCGCAGCCGCCGCACCACCTGCCCCAGCAGATGCCCGTGCAGCACCCGCGGCTGCAAGCCCTGAAGGAGGAGCCTCAGACAGTGCCCGAGATGCCTGGCGAGACGCCACCCCTGTCCCCCATTGACATGGAGTCCCAGGAGCGGATCAAGGCGGAGAGGAAGCGCATGAGGAACCGCATTGCTGCCTCCAAGTGCCGAAAAAGGAAGCTGGAGAGAATCGCCCGGCTGGAGGAAAAAGTGAAAACCTTGAAAGCTCAGAACTCGGAGCTGGCGTCCACGGCCAACATGCTCAGGGAACAGGTGGCACAGCTTAAACAGAAAGTCATGAACCACGTTAACAGTGGGTGCCAACTCATGCTAACGCAGCAGTTGCAAACATTTTGAAGAGAGACTGTTGGGGGCTGAGGGGCAATGGAGAAAAAAAATAACACAGAGAGACAGACTTGAGAACTTGACAAGTTGCGACGGAGAGAAAAAAGAAGTGTCCGAGAACTAAAGCCAAGGGTATCCAAGTTGGACTGGGTTGCGTCCTGACGGCGCCCCCAGTGTGCACGAGTGGGAAGGACTTGGCGCGCCCTCCCTTGGCGTGGAGCCAGGGAGCGGCCGCCTGCGGGCTGCCCCGCTTTGCGGACGGGCTGTCCCCGCGCGGACGGAACGTTGGACTTTTCGTTAACATTGACCAAGAACTGCATGGACCTAACATTCGATCTCATTCAGTATTAAAGGGGGGAGGGGGAGGGGGTTACAAACTGCAATAGAGACTGTAGATTGCTTCTGTAGTACTCATTAAGAACACAAAGCGGGGGGGAGGGCTGGGGAGGGGCGGCAGGAGGGAGGTTTGTGAGAGCGAGGCTGAGCCTACAGATGAACTCTTTCTGGCCTGCCTTCGTTAACTGTGTATGTACATATATATATTTTTTAATTTGATGAAAGCTGATTACTGTCAATAAACAGCTTCATGCCTTTGTAAGTTATTTCTTGTTTGTTTGTTTGGGTGTCCTGCCCAGTGTTGTTTGTAAATAAGAGATTTGGAGCACTCTGAGTTTACCATTTGTAATAAAGTATATAATTTTTTTATGTTTTGTTTCTGAAAATTCCAGAAAGGATATTTAAGAAAATACAATAAACTATTGAAAAGTACTCCCCTAACCTCTTTTCTGCATCATCTATAGATACTAGCTATCTAGGTGGAGTTGAAAGAGTTAAGAATGTCAATTAAAATCACTCTCAGTGCTTCTTACTATCAAGCAGTAAAAACTGTTCTCTCTTAGACTTTAGAAATAAATGTTCCTGATGTACCTGCTTGTATGGTCAGGCTATACTCTTCTTCCCCCAGCTATCTATATGGAATTGCTTACCAAAGGATAGTGCGATGTTTCAGGAGGCTGGAGGAAGGGGGGGGGGGTGTTGCAGTTGAGAGGGACAGCCCACTGGGAAGTCAAACATTTCAAAGTTTGGGATTGTATCAAGTGGCATGTGCTGTGACCATTTATAATGTTAGTAGAAATTTAACAATAGATGCTTATTCTCAAAGCAGGAATTGGTGGCAGATTTTACAAAAGATGTATCCTTCCAATTTGGAATCTTCTCTTTGACAATTCCTAGATTAAAAGATGGCCTTTGCTTATGAATATTTATAACAGCATTCTTGTCACAATAAATGTATTCAAATACCAATAACATCTTGAATTGCTTCCCTTTACTACTTTTTTCTTCCCAAGTAATATACTGAAGCTTTTATTTTTAGTTGCTGAGGTTAACATTGCTGCAATCTGAAGTGACTTGAAAATTAAGAAGCAAAGAATTTAGGAAGAGTCAAACTGGAAGTTATGATCTGAATGAAACAGTCTCCCAATTTCATTAATTCCCTCCTCTCTACTACCACCCTTTACCCCCAAATAAATACCTATGTCTAAGAAAACTAGCAGTTTAGCATTTTGGATCTGTCTATAGTTTATTTCTTAATTTGTTTCTCAAATAATCAACCTTGTTTAAGTAATTATAGAATCAGTCTCAAAAGATAGTAATCTAATACTATGGAAAAGATTCACAAGAGAAAACATGAACACCAACTCAATGATTACATGCATAAATCAAACCTTAGCTCTAGGGAAATGGGAAACTTAAATTGTGACTACAGATGTAACTTAGGAGATCAATAAGGCAGTGCTCAACAAGGGAACAATTTTTTGCTTGGTTGCTTTTCATCCCAAGAGCCAGTGTGATTATCAGGCAGCAAAAGCAATTTGATATCCAGGAATATTTCACAAACCACTAATTGAGGCAGGGCTGTTTGCTCATTAGCAATGTTCTGGTACCCAATAGGTCTGGGAGTGCTAATATCCTGCCTGTGGCTGTAAATCCAAATACACAGAGTTTCTCCTTAGGAGTATCTCTAGGAGTGGAAGAGATTGGACAGGCTTGTTAGCTTCGGGTATACTCTCCCTTGTAATAACACTTCTTGAACAAAGGGTTACTGGGAGCAGAGCCCGGTTTGCCAAACTGAATTTGCCGATGTCAGCAACCCGGAAGGTGAGATGATTTTGACCATATGTAGAAATAGCAGAGGGACAATAAAGCACTTTGGGGTGGGGCTCTGTGGAAGCTAAACAAGAGCCAACTAGAAAAAATAAGCAGGCTGGGGAATTAATTACCTGCAAAGGTAGACTAAGCCCAGACAACAGTACAGCACAGAAAAGCCACACCACTCCCCAGTTTGCTTTAGATTTCAGTGTTTAAAAAAAAAAAAAAAAAAAGTCTGAAACTCAGGCCTATCCCCATGCCTGATTGTTTCAATTAACCTTCTAAATGTATAGTCTTGAAATTCTAACCATTCTAACCAAAAGGGGTGGAAATAAATAATTGTGGTAGAGGAAATTAACCATGATCTCTGGTAAATTTTGGAGACAAAAGATTAACTGCTTATAAACACTTAATAGTTAACTTCATTATGGGCCTTCAATGAGTTAATCTTTAGGTAACACTAATAGTTGGAGCAGATGAAGGTAGTGACACATAGTCATTAATCCTCTTAATTTGTTTTTCTTATATATGTTACATATATAAAATAATTCAATCAGGGACATAACCCTCTGTGTCTATCAAGACAGAGGGTTCATGAACTCAATGAAAATGCCCAGAAAGTTGTGTGTGTGTGCGTCTGTACACACTCTTCTGAGGAGAGAGATTATTGCTTTTATTTGACCCTCCCAGAGTTCCATGACTCAAAAAAAAAAAAAAAAAAAAAAAAAAAAGAGTTGATAAACCATGAACTGACCAGCTTACATGCCCACTATCAGAAACATATCTTTGTATGAATCTAAATCCCTTGCTTTTTCACCCCTTCATGTTTCTGCTTGCATGTATTTGCCTGGAATACCTTTCCTTCTAGTTCAACTGATAAATCCTACCCATTCTTCAAGTCTTGGCATAAGTGACACCTTCTCTGTAAAGCTTCTGTTGGTAACTCCATCTTCAAAGGGAATTAATAATTCCCTAGTGAGCATGATAACATTTCATGAAAAATCCTATGATAGCACTTACCAAACTTGTCTCCCGGTCAGAACCCTATCCTCTTCATCAATGGACTCCCAAACTTTTAATGCAGCACCTAGCATATAGTAGATGTTCATGAAATAAACGTTTGATGACTGAAAGAACAAGTGAGCTCAAACCCTCCTCCAACATAATTCCAAGTCTCAGTTTCTTCTAGTAAATATACTTCATTCATTTCCAGGTGCATAACTCGCAATGGATCAACCTTCGCCTCCTCAAAGTCAAACCTGGCCAACCCTCAAGTTCTAAAGCCTAGTTCTTAGTGAGTATTCTTAAAAGAATTAAACTGTTAACACATTCATACATCCAGCCACACACAGTGTCCCTTCCTGCCTCCACTAATACAAGTGGGCATCTGCTTACATTAAATGGGTCTGCCTGAAACATTAGTTTTAAAGGTAGAAATGAAGGAGGATAGTAATTGTGTCCTTGGGCAGGCACAAAAACAGTTCCAGATGTGTCTTCATTAAAAACAACCAGCTTTATTGGTAATGACAGAGGGGACTTTCTGTTAGTAAAGTTAGACATATTTCAGGGGTCCAGAAATTAGTACCCAATGTTTGCTTGCTGAGACAGGAATCATGCTAATCCATCTATTCCTCCATGTCATTTCATACTAGGGAAGTGCATTGGTTGAACCAAGGAAAGAGACCATGACTTCTAGTTTGATTGCCCCTTGCCTCCTCCACCTACCTCTATGGTGGTCAAGTAGGATCTCATAGAAGAGAGGAAGAGGGTTAGAAGCTGGGATGGCCCCAAAATGTAAAACTATTCTTTCCGAACTCTAGAACCTAACTTGAGTTGTTTGGTTTTGGACTTTTGGACATCACAAAGCAGGGCATTCCTCTGGTCCTGGGTCTCTTTGGGACCCTGTGCTTGGCTGTGGGGATTCAATGATGAGCAAAATATAATCCCTTCTCAGGGAACTCACATTCTGGTAGAGTGGAATGTGGAGATGAAATAGAAACTATTCTAATTGCACAAGATATATGCTATAAGAAAAAGGTGCCAGATGGGAGCAGAAGGAGGCATTATTAGAAAATGCTTTATGGGAGAGGTGACATTTGAGCTGATCCAGTGGGCCTTACCAGGCAGAAAAGATTGGGAAGAAACTTGCATGCAAAGGCAGAGAAGTATGAGAAAACATCTTGTGTTTAGGGACCTGAAAGCTGCTTAGGGAAGCTTGGAACAAAGGTGCGAGAAAAAAACTGAAGGGAGAAGAGGCAGGGAAGTTGAAAGCTTGGGTTGAGAATTAATATCCATTCCATGTTATCCTATAGGTGATGGAGAAAGTAGGTGAATTTGAAACAGAGTGGGAACATAATACCCTCAAGTTGAGAAAGATTCATGCTGGCAATAGTTTAGAGGATGAAGAAGAGGCTAGGTAAGGGATGAAATACCAAAGATAGGTTTTTACTTTTATTTAGAATGCCTGTGGTATTTAAAGTAGTCTTAGAGTTGGGGAAGAAATGGGAAGAAGATGGTTTGGTCCAGGCTACATCATGCCACCTTTCTTCTTATGCAACTTTCTGATGAGTTAGGCCTAAAGAGGGATACCAGGAGATTGACTTTCCTCTTATGCTACTTGTTCCATGCTTACGTTTTCCTCTCTATTGGGTCCATTTGATACCTGAAAGAAAATCATCTTACAAAATGGTCTAGAGCCCACCTGTTCAGAGTCAGGAAGCTCAAATAAACAGATGTGAATGAAACAGACCTGCAACCGTGTAGGCCAGGCCTTCCAGGGTTACGGCACAGAGTTGGTCCTCACTGCTGCAAGACCAAATTTGACTTTATCTGGTCACCTAGAATTGATTTAAGCTCAATGAGGTTAGTTGACCCAAACTTTATAAACTCCTTGATATATAAACAAATTCTGCTGGGGAACTGATAATAACATTTTACATTCCCATAGCACTCATTTTCTACTACAAGTAATATTGAAATCCTATTTTGTGCCAGAAACCAGGAACACAGAAAAATGAAAGCAACAGGATGCCTTCCCTCACGGAGTTTCTCATCTAGCTAAGAGAAACAGTAAATAAACACACAAGGCCAGGCATGGTGGCTCACACCTAAAATTCCAGCATTTTGGGAGGCTGAGGCGGGTGTATTACTTGAGGTCAGTGGTTCGAGACCAGCCTGGCCAATGTAGTGAAACCCTGTCTGTCTGTCTACTCAAAATACAAAAATTAGCTGGGCATGGTGGTGGGTGCCTATAATCCCAGCTACTCAGGAGGCTGAGGCAGGAGAATCGCTTGAACCCAGGAGGTGGAAGTTGCAGTGAGCTGAGATGGCGCCACTACGTTCCAGCCTGGGCGACAGAGGCTAGATTCTGTCAAGAAGGAAGCAAGGAAAGAAGGGAGGGAGGGAGGGAGGGAGACACACAAATAAATATATGATTAAAGTGTAATGAAGAAAAAGAACTGGGCAGTAATAAAGATAAGATCTAAATTGGGTTGGCAACAAAGTATTTCTGGAGAACTACTTGAGTTGAGAATTCTTAGACTAAGAGTTCCCCAGGTGAAGAGCAGATGAATAGGAGTGGGACATCCCAGGTGGAGAATCAGCATGAGGGAGAGCCTGGGAAAGACTCTGGTGCACCCTAGTAGTTATAAGAAGGCCTGAATCCCTGGAGTATACTGAGCAAAAGAAACAGTGTTGAGCAATGACATTTTGTACTCACCCATCCATACTCTTATAGTTTCCAAAGCTCTTTTGCCTCTTCTATCTCGTGCTATTTTCACCACTGTTCTAGGGATGCCCATTGATAGTAGTCATGTTTAAAGGGAGCAGAAGCTGAGGCTCCCAGTGAGTTTTAAGTGCTTTTGTTCAGGCCATGGCTCCAGTAACTGGTGGGGAACAATTTGGTCCCCAGGCATCAAGAACCATACTTTTCTCCTATATTGTTCCAGGAAACAGAAACCCTGGTGACCTTGGGTCTCTTACTCAGTGCACACCCCTACGTCTACATCAAGGACCCTGAGGACTGAATTAGTCGTCAGAAGGTTCTTTGATGTGCACAGCATCTGAGCAAAGGTAATCAGATAGTCTCCTGGGATATTTCGTCCATGCCGCAGCAATGTCTAATGAACCCTCCTTGCCCTTCTGCAAACTCCCTCTCTCTGGAGAGAACAGAACACTTCTGCACTGAGAAACCCTGACAGTTTCTTGCTACACAAACTTCCTTCATGTACATCTAATAAAAAGCATTGCTTGATGATTGTTTCATTATTGCTTCAAACAATTGTGTTACCAGATCACCAATACATTTATTGCTTTCTTAGGTTGTAGGTACTCACTGGTCCCCTGGACAGAATTTGAGTATTTCCCAAATATCCTGAGGATTGTACATTCATCACCTTGGGCTGATGACTAATCTCTTCCAGGGTGTATTGATTGATCTGAGGTTCATGCTTGAAGGGGGAACTTTTCCTGATATTATGTTATCCTGGAGAAAGATGGGCAGACACCTGAGTTGTTCTATTATTGACCATTCTACCAGTTAAGATGTTTGCAGGGGCCAGCAACAGAACATGCAACGTAAACCAGAAGTCCAGATATGAAACAAGTCCACAAGTGGCTAATGTAGTGGTTTAATGACATAATCATGGGTTCAGGTGCCTCCTGTCTTTTCATTTGACCATTCTCAGTGTGTCAAGGAAGTTTCTTGTGGGCACTCAAGATACCTGCAGCAGTTCCGGCATCATAAGTCAACACAATAGTCACCAGCAATGCAGGAATGTTTACTACCATCTTTCTGTTTTTATTAACAAGAGAAACTTTCCTAGCAGCTCCCCACCTCCACCCCAGTAGACTTACCTCTTGTCCCATTGGACAGGAGCAGGTCATATTCCTAGACTCAAAATCATTCATGACTAGGAAATGAGCCCACCACGATTGCTTGCACTTTGCCATCTCCTGCCTCCTTGAACTTAAGTGAGAGGGCTTCTGACTTGCATCAGCCAATGAAATGCAAGCAATGGTGACATGTAACATCCAGATAGATGCCAAGAGAGCAAGTACAAGATTCAACATCTTCCCTTTTCTTTGCCTTGGCAACTGCGGACATACAGGAATGCAATGCCCATCAGCCTGTGTTCCTAAATGATAGTGATGTAGACAGAGTCCATTCTCCTCTCCCACAACTCCCGACCACCAGCATACCTACAGTGACCATTTAGCATGAGCAAAATCCTCCAAGAATTTGTTGCTTTAAGGCACTGAATTTGAAGGTTGCTTGTTCTCATAGCGTTATCTAACATATTCTAACTCTGGTCGGAACCAACAGTAGGAACAATATCCTCTGGTAGGAACAAATAAAGCCTGCCACAAGCATAATAAAAACTGACACGTACATAATATTTATAATATATACCATTTGCTAAATTTCTCCTATGTAGCAGGCATTGTGCTAGGACTTCCAGGGTAGGTGTTAAGGGGAAATGGAGCATCAGATCTTATCCAACTTTATGAAATAAGTGACTGGTGGAAGCTCAAGCTGAATCCAACTCTTCCTGACTCCAAATAACTTGCTTTGTCCACATAGGATCTTGCTCCTGAATGATACTGCCACGTAAATTTCTATCTCATTGAACTCTACAACTTCTCTACCACACAGGCACTGTTATTTCATTTTGTATATGAGGAACTGAGATTTAGAGAAAAAAGCTATCTTGCCAAACTCCAGAACTAGAAAGACACCAGAGCCTCTGCCCTTCCCACTGTTCCTCACTACACTTCTGAACAAAAACATCAGGAATTGAGGTATTATGAGTTAGGGGAGAGAATGGAGGTATTATGAGTTAGGGGAGAGAACTGAGGTATTATGACTTAGAGGCATGCAGATTTTGGAGTAAAGTGCCCCTGCATTAAATCTAGCTTCTGCCACTTGTAGCTGGGGAGCCTGGAGCCAGTCCCTTACTATTGATGCTCATCCTCAATTTCTTTCTTTGCAAAATGAGCCAATCATGGCTGCCACAGAAGGTTGTTGGGAGGAACATATATGTAAAGCACTTATATACAGCAGGCACAGAATAATTAGCTAGTTTTTACTGTCAACTTGTTAATTTAAGAAAAAAAATCAGGAATGCAATCAGGAATACACACACACACACACACACACACACACACACACACACACAGCCCTAGCTGAAATAAAAACATTTCCCATTAAGATTCAACGAGGTCTCACAGGGCCTACTTCTTGGTCATATAAGGGCTGGCAGGTCCTCTCTGTGGGCTGGAGAAAAGTTTTGTTTCCCCAGCTGCACTCGCAGGGGAATACTCTGCAGGCACTGCATTGTGAACCTGTTTGGCTTGGCTCAGAGGCCTGTCAGCACATTCAGGAAGTGAAGTCAGAAAGAGGCAGGATTTCAAACAGAGCCAGCTGCACACAAATGCCCAGGCAGTGAAATGCCTTATTCGAGCAGGGTGCCTATCAGCCTGGGTTGCCCTGGGTGCTGTCAAAGAAGCCTCTGAGAGTGGCTCTGTGCCAGAAAAGGAAGAAGTAATCACCAGCACCCAGGCTAAGGCCACAGCTTCCACAACAGGGCAGCCTGGGGGCTGTGCAGGGGTCATCTCAGCCAGTCTCCTGCCTTAGACTCTCTGAGCTTGCTCTAAACCTGAGCTCTCTGAACTTGCTAGGTGGAGGGGCTAATGTTTATCTCCTGGGAGTCTTGAAATCAAGGTGTGAGGTTGAGAGGAGAGATGAGGGGAAGGACAGCTAAATGAAGGAATGGGTTACCAATGTTGGGGAGAAGGGAGAGAACAGGATGAAGTGCCTAAGAGCATACAGAATCCTGAGAAAGAACCATGCTGCCACTCGCCAGCCATATTCGCATGCCGAGGAAACAGCAGTGGCTAAAACCTGAATTCTAATATCAACCTCGAACTGTCAGTGGGAAAATAGTTCACTTGTCTAAGCCTCAGTTTCATTCACTGTGAAATGGAGATAATATAATATCTACTCCCATTGTATTGTTGTAAGGATTAAATAGGTCAATATATGTAAAACAGCTTAACCTAGTGCCAGCAAATCATAAATGTATCAGTTAGAATTCCATGGTTGCAAGAGGCAGGAAACTTAGTTTTAAATGTAAAGGATTTTTATTGAAATACATCAGTGAAAAGCCATCATAGATATAGCTCCAGACATGGCTATATACAGGGCTCAAATGGTATCATCAGGCTTTGATTTCTCTCTATCACTCATCTTGCTATGGGAAGTGTTAGCTTCATCTTCAGTCCCCATGTGGTAGTGTCCAGAAACTCCCAACTCTCCATCCATAGGGGTCAGAGGGCTACAGCAATTTCTCACAGCCTCCCAGAATTATGCTTCATTGATCTAATTGGGTCTCATATCCATCCAATCACTATGGCGAAGGGGTAAAGTGGGATATATTGATCAGCTTAAGTGTAGGTCAAGCGCCCACCTCCGAAACCAAGGTTGTGGAGTCATTCAAAGCACATGGCCAGACAGGGAGGAAAGAGGGTATCTTCAAAGGAAAATCAGGATCTAGGAGGGAGTAGATACTGGAGAGATCAGAAGAAAATGTCAATTACTAGAGCTCATCCATTTAGTGATTATTGTTGCTGTTAATATTATCAAACCTTGCAGACCAGGCTAGAGGTATCTACTGCCTTTCTAAAACTGGGTCACAATGCATAACTCATTATTGACTTTTTGGTCTCTTAATGGGCAATTCTGGTCAATGTCTTCTCAAGTCTTATCTTAAGAAAGTGAATATCGGGCCAGGCGCAGTGGCTCACGCCTGTAATCCCAGCACTTTGGGAGGCCGAGGCGGGTGGATCACGAGATCAAGAGAGATCAGCCTGGCCAACATGGTGAAACCCCGTCTCTACTAAAAATACAAAAATTAGCTGGGCATGGTGGTGCACGCCTGTAATCCCAGCTACTCGGGAGGCTGAGGGAGAAGAATCACTTGAACCAGGGAGTCAGAAGTTGCAGTGAGCTGAGATCGTGCCACTGCACTCCAGCCTGGCAACAGAGCAAGACTCTGTCAAAAAAAAAAAAAAAAAAAAAGAAGAAGAAGAGGAAGAAAAAAGAAAAGAAAAGAAAACATGGTTCCTTCAGAGGGAGGGGACAAGGTAGGAGGGGAGGCCATAGGGGCAGGTGGTTCCAGATGGTATGTGGTTTAACTTGCCATGTCTGAATATAGTACCCTCAAGTCATCAACAATCTGAGCGGCCAGATGATGGTGAGCAAAGAACACCCAGGTTTTTTCTGAAAATCACATTGCTTCGTTCTTAAAGCAGAACCATTCTTGTGGTAGTTGCCTCCGCACTACCTTGTTTAAAACTGACAATAGCCCCTCAAAGTAATTATCACAGGCCTGTTCTCAGGCAAGGAAACTGAGATCCAGAGTCATTACAGAAAATAGCTAAGGCCCCATTACTGCAGAAGGCAGGAGCAGGATTTGATTTTAAGTTCAAGCTCTTGATCATGAAATCAAACCACCTCTGAAGAAGAAAATGAAAAACATTTAAAATTTTATAACATTCCAATGACTCAGCAACATCACACTCCCTAGTGATACCTTGACACATAGTAGGTTTGCAACAAATGCCAATATTTTTTCCTTAATGTAGAAGGCAAATGGGGAATTCCAGGGGCCTTTTTATTTTCTCCCTCATCCGTATCTGGGCTTTCTGCCCCTGCTGTTTTAAATTCCATTTGAAATGAAAAAAATACATAACTAAAAACCATCCTCTGCCAAGCCATTTGGATTTAAAACAGATGGGCAGAAACCTGGAAGGAGTCAGGATTCTCCCTAATATATCAAATATTGCAGCCAGCGCCCATCTGAGAGGCTTTGCTGCATTTTGTAAAGAAAACAGGCCATATTTTGAAAATGGATGAGTAAGTTTCACTGTTTTGACTTGTTTCAAGGTCTGGAGGCCAGGCCTGGTTTTGATCTGACAGGTCTGAGTCTCCAACCGTAGGTTATTTCTGTGCAAAGATTCGAAGAGGCAGCACGCTCACCAGGCACAGACCTGAAACGGTGTCCCTTTGAAGACTTCTTCAGTGGGTCTTAAGTGGGATTTGGTGCCCATTGTGGAATCACAGTAATGAACCCAAAACTAATGTTTTTCATTACACCAGCAAATCAGTCAGCCCCTCTGTTTGCTCAGGTGTGCAGCTGTGTGCCCCATGCCCTGATCTCTATACAGTAACAAAATAAATATTTTTCGAAGGAAGAAATTAAAGATGAAGGAATGCCACAACTGATGGGGTGGGGGAAGCGAGAGATAGGAGACTCTGGTCTCTTTAAAGTAGGATAATATATTTGCTATACAATATCTTTACTAAATGGCCAACCTCTAGTCCGTGAAGAAGAAAAGAATCTACTAATGAAGTGGCAGGATTCATCCAATCAATTACTAAACACATCACAACTCCGCAGGGGGCTCCTTAGACTCGAAAAACAGTGCCGGTAGGTGGCGCCAGAGGGCAGGTTCACTGCTTCTCCGGGTTTAAAGGATGAGAAAAAGCCCAGTCAACACATTGGGCTGGGACAAAAGTATGGGCGTCGTCCGCCTTCAGAGGGGACCAAGTATAAATACTTTTTTTTTTTTTTTAACAGAGTGGGGAATTACATGTGCTGGAAACGTCCTTGCTCCACCAGCCGGACGCCAGGAAGCAAGCGCCAAACACTGTTTGCAGGACAGCTCTTATTTCAGGAATGAAGACTAAGGCTCAGCAGGTAGGAGGCCTTGAGAACTAGCACGGAATTTCCAAGAGGCCCACGCTGCGATGGAGCTGCGGAGTGCTTGGCTCAGGGAACTCACTGGATAATGAGACGAGAGACACTTGCGATATTGGAATAAACGCATCCAAACTCATCTACATTAACAGGGGCACCAGCTTACTATGCTGGGGAAGATTTGAAGATCAAGAGTTAGACAGAACTGAGTTGAAATCTTAGATACATGACTTTGGGTAAGTCTCTTTCCTTCCCTGGGCAACAGTTTACTTACGCATGGAATAGGTGTCATTGTTGTAAAGAAGGGAAGTGTTGATTTTTGGAAAACGCTTAGCACAACACTCAACTCTTCCAATCATATCACTAAACATATCAAACATATCAAACAACTCTTCCAATCATATCACTAAAACCCATTCAGGTGGGAATCAGGATCATGCTGGGTGAGAAAAACAACCTCCTCATTTGTGTCATCCCTGTGCCTATATGTGCTGACTCTCCGTGGGCTTATCACAGTATTTTGCGTTTTTAAACTTCATGCAGGCCATCAGGTTGGCTACTCTTTTAACATGAGCGCTACTTTGCAAAGTCCACTTTGCATCCCCAGCATCTATCACAGTCCCTGGAATGTGATAACATCTGTTAAATACACAAGTTTTTCTTAGGAACAAGTTGTTCCAACCCACCAAGCTGAGTGATTCAGATACAGTATTATGGCCACATCTTTTCCTTCACTGTGCTCAGCAAAGAAAGAAAATACTACAAACCCAGTGATGAAAATGAATTTTGAATTTTTAGCCAAAGACCAAATAGGAGCCAGATGCTGAGCAGCCATCTTCGGGAAGGGCCAACTCAACCAGCCAAGGCTCAAAATAAATTCCAAGGCAGAATTACAACATTCGAAGCAATTCTATGATTTTGGTGTCATAGCTGAAGACTTGGACATATGGCATTCTCGTCTATGCATGCCAAAGAGAGCGATGGAGAGGGAAAGGAGGGAAGGACCTGGACAGAAGCAAATGTCAGGAAGCCAACAAGATCAGGGATGCCAAGCTGGGGCCAATATATAGGAAAAGGTGGAGGCCATGGGCTGGCTATCATGAGTCATATAGACTTGGTCACTTAGTAGCCCTTTGATTGGGTAAAGTTACTTGATTGCTGGGAGGCTTAATCTCTTCATCTATAAAATGGGGTGTATTAGTCAGGATAGGCTAATCTGTGCTGTGGTAACAAACTGAAATCTCAGTGACTTCACAGAACAAAAATTAATTTTTACCCACCCAAAGTTAAGTCAGTAGGAATCCTCCTACATCCAGTGACTTAGGATCCCATTTTCTTCTATCTCATGATGCTACTATCTCATCATTGGCTTCCAATGTTACTGTGTCAAGAAAGAGAGAGCTTGAGAAGTTATACTGGCTCTTAGGTGCCTCAGCACACAAACAATGTATGTAATTTCTGCTTGGAGCTTATTGGTCAGAATAAGACACACGGCCCAGTCAACTGCAAGGAAGACTGGGAAATGTGGACGAGTGTAGGTATTTGGGGAACACTAAATATGCCTGCCCCACAGGGTAATAATTAACTCAATCAGAACTGGATTTCATTGCATAAAACACAGCAGCTAAATAACTCTTTTAATGGCTTTAAGGAGTTAGAGATTCATTTTGCCTGTTATAAAAAGTTCGGAGGAAGGCACTGCAGCAGCTCCACAGCCATCAGGGTCATAGGCTCCTTCTCTGTTTCTGTTCCACCATTCTTCGCGTACGGCTTCCATCCTAAAGTCACTTCATGGTTACAAGGTGCCCTCCAGCTATTATGTCCACATTGCCACTAATATTTCTCAGCAATACAAGGCACACTATCAGCATTAAAGAGCTTTCTCTGAAGCTTACCCAGCAACTTCTATTTATATTCTTTGGCTACTCCTAGTTGCAAGGAAAGCTGGGAAGTGTAGTCTTTAACATCTGTGAATGGGAGAGTGAATACTGGGTAGGTAACTAGCAGTTGATACCAAAATAATATTTAATTCATGGGTTTGTGATGAGTACTATTCAAAAGCTAAAAGCACTGCTCAGGACCTGGTCTTTGCAAGTGCCCAATATATGTTAGTTGTGGGGGTCTTTTGTCATTCTTGTTTTTATTAACCAGGTCATCATTTAGGAAGCCAGACTTTGGTGGCAGCATCTCAGGGACCTGTCAAGGAAATTGATGAGTCTCTCGTCTTAGTAGGGAGAACATGGAAGAGCACAGCAGGATATAAGAGCACCAGGCCTTGGGTTAGGGATTAGGACAGGGAAATGGTCAGCACTCAAGAGGAAGGACTAACACAGAATGTCATTCTGCTGGGCTGGGCCAAGCCAGCAGGGAGAAGGAAGGAGGGCCGGCCAAGAGGCAGAATATGGCAGCTATAGGTTTTCCTGAGGTTAACTTTGTTTGAGAGATGTCATTGGCAGAGAAGAGAATTCAAGAAAATATTGTGAAAGACCAGAAATTATCCCAGTGCCTGCCTCAGTTGGCACCTTTAAGAAGTTAGCATCTCTTGCACTCTTAACTTTGCACCCTCCCCCTTTCTACTCACTGACCTCACTCCATCTCTGCAATGTCACCTCACCTCTTCACTTGATTTCTATCCCCACAAATCTCAGCCCTTCTTGCTGCCACTGCTTTTTCCCTCTTTTATTCAGCCTGAGTACTTACTTTCTGAGTACTTACCAGGAGCCAGACATAATTTTCTATACTAGGGATACAGTGGGGAATAAGATAGGCAAACTCCCTTGTTTTATGAAGTCTACATGATGCTTTGGCCTCTTTCCTCCTTGGAATGGTGCCTTCTAGGTAATTCCTCTGGAACTTCTGGAAGCCTCTGGGACTTTTCCTTCAGTATCCTGTATGCAACTCACCCACCACCTCTTCAGTCCTATTCCTGAGGATGAAATCAAAACTCATAGTTACTACAACCCAGATATTAGGGAGATGACTTACTTCAAAGTCCTACCCAGTAAAAAATTGAGACTCTTCATACTTCACTTTAGAGTTGGCTCAGAAACAGGGCAGGGTTAAGCCTATGGGTGGAAGCATTAATGGCCTCACTTGGGAAAAGCTGGAGAATAAAACAAGTAAATTTAGCAAGGTGGGAGAGACCAACCTGTATAATTTCAATTATTTGGGTAGAAAAGTGAATAACTTCTTTTGTCACTTAGGGTCCTTGATTGCAAGCAACATAAATGGACTCTAGGTAACTTACATAGAAGAGGTGTACTGGAAGGATATGGGGCATCAACATCGCAAATAAGATTTGAAGGAGAAGCTGAAGGGTCAGGCCTCAGAAAGAACAGGATCCAGAGCAGCTCAGGGAATTTGTTTGAGTTCCATGTCTCTGTTAGAGAAAATGGTCCCCAGTCATATGTCTATGCTTTTTATCCATACCCAAGAGACACATTCTTCGAAGAGAGAGGGATATTATGGTCCTAGTTTGAGTTACATTTCTACTTCTTCCCATCTGCAGCCCAAATGACAATTTCTATCAAGTCTGTAAGCCAAGGAACCTGGTAGTTTATTCTCTGAACCAAAATTGAAGTATGCCTACCAGAATGGGAAGTGAGTGCTGGGCAAGCAGATAACTCAGCTGTCTACCACTCCACTCTAGATAATTTTCTTATTTTCAAAACTATGGCTTTAAGAACATTTCATGAGCATCCATAAGAATAATTCCTTCTGAAAACATTTTCAGTTGTGGGAATCAAGACTGGCTCAATCCTTAATGGTTGCAATAAACTAGATGCTTAAGATGGGAATTTGGAGTGGGGCTGACAGAAATAACAATTATAGGTGATTTAACAATCTAAAAATATATTTTATTTTTGTACTGTTTGGGCTTTTACAATCTGTTCTGTATGTTTATAATTATAATTTTGCTGTATTTTAAAAATCAGTAATATATTCACGTGGTTTACTCACCTTCCTCCATCCTGCTGCCTAAAACGTAGATGTGTCATTTTGAATTATGAAGGCAAAACCCTAGGAATGGCAGAAAAGTGCACTGGAAGGAACTAGGATCTGATAACTTTATGCAACAGGGACATTATGCCAGCCCTCTCCTGTATTGCTCTAGATTTTTATGTAATAGAGAAATAAGCCACTCTTACTTGGCTTTTTTCTGTTATAGCCAAGCCTAATCCTAACTGATTCCCTAAAGTTGAACCACCAATAAGTGATAGAGCCTTGATTCTAATTCAGTTCCAGGGCCCGGATTTGGGTGAGGAAAAGAGTGACCCAGAGGGCAAAATTTAAAGAGGCACTCACTTTCAGGATTGTACAAGTGCTGACTCTGTCCCTGTATGACCCTGAGAGTAGGTGCCTCCTGAAATTTTGACCCTTAGGCACCTAGCTTACTCCAGAGGCTCAGCTTCCAGAGCCCAGGCTCTTTCAGCCTCAACACACTGACAGGACAAGGCCTAAGGTTGAATCAACCTATTGCTGCATCATCACCGTGAAAAATTAACTGGACTTAGTCAGAAATTTAAAATACCATTTTTTGACATTGACTGTGAAATATAAGAGTCAAAAAGTTTCTGAAGCCTCCATTCCATAGCACCCCTACCATTCTGAGAGCTAGCTTTTATCATTCGCTGGCGTGAGAGTGAAGAGCCCTTCTGAAATAACTCGCCCTCTCATCCACTCTCCAAGCAGGCAATCTTGTTTATATATCATTTCTCCCACATGAATCATTTGTAGCAAGAGTACAGCTTCCACTTGTCCATGAGAAATGTTCAAAACAATCTTTTCTACTCTACATAAAACTTCAGGAGTAACAATAGGCATTCAGAATGAGGCTGCTATTTGTCAGCCTCTCAAAGTCAGGGAACAAATGAAAGTAACTATGAGCCATCAAAAATCATGTTGAGAGAAAAAAAAAATTCCTTCTGGTGATCGCTCATTTTTCTGAGCCCCCACCGCCCCCCGCCTTCTTCAAAACTGACTTTTATATTATGCTTCCAGCAGAAACCTCCCTAGTTCCTTCTGCTTCTAGTTCCAAGGTGTTATTTTCACATAAAGCTTCCTGAGATCTGTGCAGAGTCATCATAGGGAGAGGTAGAGGGCTAGTGTGGGGTACAGGGTTAATTGCCATTTGCATCTCAGGGATCAGAACCCTAAGCGAAAGGTTAGGGGAAAAGGTAGAGTCATTTCTTAATGTTTTGTTTATTTGATATGCTGAATTTGTGTTGAGTTCCACAAAGAATTTCCAAAAAATAAATTTTCTGCAGAATCCCTGCAAATCCCTGGAGAATAGAGAAAGGGTAGGGGAGAGACAGGGGCTGGAGAAGGCAACATAAGTAGAGAATGTGGTCTAGATGGTGGCTCGTGAATATCAGACCCTATCCCAAAGGCTTTATGTTAATCCTCACAGCCCACCTTCAAGGTGTTTTTATCTTCATTTTACAGGTGGGGAAAGTGAAGCTTGGAGAGATTAAGTAACTTGTCAAAAATCACACAACAAACGGCAAGCAGAGATCCAAACTCAGATGAATCTGTCTCGATATCTTTGCTCTTTCAGGTGTTGCCTCGTTGTCTGTGAAAGCCAGTCAATTTCTTGTTAGAGGAAAGATCAGCATGATGTGAGGAATCAGGCAATTAAGGATCTTGTCCCAGCAGGGAGACAGAGCAAAGCTTTCCATTTCCCTGGACCTCAGTGTTCTCACCTATTTAATGAAAGAATAGGGCTAGATGGTTCTTCAAGTACTTCTGCTCTCTGATGTATGAGTGTCCATGTCTACATTCATTAAAGGCATCCAACAAAAGAATTAAAATAACAGGAAGGGTGAGCCACAGGCAGGATCCCTCCCTGTGGGTCAGAAGTCCAGGAAAGGCCAGAGACAGCCACTGCAGGATAAATAAACTGAGCTTGGTATTTTTTGCACACTCTCATTTTTCTCATCACCTTCTTCAGCCCTTGTCTGACCATCCAGATATCCTGACCCTGGCTTTACCACCTCTAGTGCTCCCTCCCACTTGTAGCACCCTATTCTGCGCCTTCTTTGATGCCTGCAATGCTGGTTAAAAGGTGTAACTTTTTATCTAGCCAAATGGATAGCTATTTTTTGCAAATTATAAGAAGCTGCCCCTCCCACCTGGGTAGACATGACCCTACCCAGGGGGATGTGTGTCTTGGTAAGCAGAGAATGGGCTACCTTTTAGCTTTGCCTTTGTTAATTAGCCAGATGCCCTGGTATAGTGCACAACTCACACAACTGTACATGGCAGTCTTAGAACAAAGCCAAGTGGTGATTCATTTCAGTGAATGGTATTCCATCCATCCAATTACACATGGCAGAGAGGAACCTAGAAGATATGTTAGACTCTTTTCTTTTTTTCTCTCCCATGTTCAGTCCATTATATTGCTGATTGAGCTCCTATTTATCTCTCAGATTTTTTCATTGCCCTCCATCACCAGCACCCTAGTCAAAAGAACATCATCTTCCTTTGGAACTCAACACCAGCTTCCTAACCGACCTCCCCCCATGTATTCTGTCCCACCTTTTGTGTTCATTCCCATCACTGCAGCCAGAAGATATATGAACTCAACTGTTTTAACACTGAGAACAGGATGGAGGATCTTTCCAAAATGTAAGTATGATCATCACCCTTTCCTGCTTAAAAATTCTCAGCAACTTCTCTTGATTCTTAAGATAAAGACAAGATTCTTTGACTGGGCCTGCTATATCATCAGACCACTTCTTACTCCTCCAGCTTCATCCTGCATCGCCTTCCTTTCATCTCTCTTCTCTCCAGCTTTTCTGGAAAGGAGCCCATGCACATGCTATTTCCTCCACTTAGAACCTGGTCTCCCTCTTCACCTGTTAACTGCTATTCACACCGGGAAGCCTTATGCCTCCCTAACAGTAAGGCCATCCCTAATCCTTCTGACACAGCCAACTCCCCTTATAAGTCCGTTAGCAACAAGGGCCCACTTCCCTTTGCAGCATTCATCAGAGTTATATTTGTTGAATTGATGGATAAAATGTAATCATTCAGGTCCCAGATTCGGTGCTACATCTGCTAGGAAGCCATTTCTGATGTGTACCAGTCTCCAGAAACAATTTCCCTGTCCTCAAAATGTTCAAAGCATTTCATCCTTTCCTTTCTGATGATACCTTTTATCTTGCAATAGAGTTATTTAGGTATTTGTCTCTCTCTTAGAAATTTAGCACTGGTTCTACTGCGGACTCTCAGCAAAGGGCATCCGATGGATATCTCACTGGAAAGGTTCTCACGATGAGAATTCGTGAGCTCAGATTCATGAATTCAGACGTCCATAGGTAATGACAGGTAGGTAACACGAAGGAATGCTATAATGATGTAGCTTTGGGGATGGGAGCTGTAAGCACTCAGGGATTCCTGCTTCACCTAGTAGGTCCCCAGTGACTCAGCACCAGCCATCACCACTGTGTGAGAATGTGGGTCCAGCCTTGTGAGATTTTCTGTTTGTTTTTAAAAGAACTCTGGATTTTATTACCTAATTTATCTTTATCCCTTCTCAGACCCTCCACCCCCCAATACCTGGCAAGTGTCTATTTTATAGTAGGTGCTCAGTTAGGATTTGGGGAATGAGTGAATGAATGTGAAGACACAAATGGATGATAAGTGATACTTGAATGAGCCACTGTCTCTCAGAGGTACACACTGTGAGTTTGAATGTATTTCTGACTTTCCTGAGTCTACATTCCATTCAAAAAAGTTTGGTCAGGACACTTTTAAACCAATTATCGATCACTAATTAAGACTCCACTGTGAGAAGTCGTGTTTTTGTTTCCCATCCCCCTATCAGGTATTTTCAGGTCTGGATGGTCTTGACAGCTTTCTAATCCAATTCAGAGAACTTCCAATACTAGATATGTGCCCCAAATCCTCCCAATACTCAAAATGCAGCTCTCAGGACTGTTATTTGTCACCTATTATATGCCCTTATTGTATGGAAACTCAATTTAATAACTGTCAACACTTTCTTTGAGTCACTTGTTTCTACCAAATTGAAAACATTCGTAGAAAATCCATCCTTCTTTTCACATCTCCCAACTGACAAGCAGTTTAGATAATTTGACTGGTGAATGAGAGACTCAGCTCTTTTGTAATCGTGAGTTACCATTAGGATTTGGTTATTTGTACTAAAATTTGCCATTGCAATATCAAGTTTTAAAGGAGGGAGAGACTTCAGAAGTTATTTGGTCTAGACGCCAATTTTACAGATGATGAAATTTGAGTCCAGGGAAGGAAAGCAATCAGCCAAGTGAGTTGTGGTGGAGATCCAAAGTCAGGTCTTTGGAGTCAAACCACTTACTCATTGTATCCCTAGGATATGCCAGATTTCCTAAACACTTTATCATTGGTTATCTCTAATAACACCTCAAGAAAGGTGTATCATCCACATTTTACAGGGAAGGAAACTGCGCTCAGAAAGTTGGCATGATTTGTCCCAAGTCCTCCCAGCTAATAATAAGTCCTCCAGTAAATAAAGCTGGAATTGAAGCCCAGACTTGGAAGATAGAGCTTCTCCTACCACACTATGGTGGTAAAAATCAAGGCAGCTTTGTGAAGATCACATTGTTCCTGAGTGATGGATGTGAGATTAAAAAAAAAAAAAAAAAAAAAGAATGCAAATGCTATCGAGAATTCCAAACTAGAGATTTCATCGGTTCCTGGGCCCCCATCCTCCACACACAACCAGCATCACTTCCTGAATACCTAGACTAAAACCTTCTCAAACTTTACTATGCATACAAATTATCTGGGGGACTTCTGAAAATGTAGTTTCTGATTGAATAGTTTTTGGGTGGGGCCTGAGATTCTGCAGATTTGGAGATTCTTACCTAAGGCAAATGCCCCTAGTCCTGGGACAACATGGCTTCCTAAACTGGGATTCAGTTTTCAGCAGCCCCATCCCGAGATGATCAAGCAGCAAAGTCTGTAAGGTGAGGGAGGGCAGTGTGGTTGTAGTAGGAGAGAACACAATGTTTGTTTAGTTATCATTTATCAAACATCTTCACTATGTGCTGGGCATAATGCTAAGGACTTCACAGATATAACCACATTTAATCCCCACCAGAACCTTATGAATAACTGTGTGTGTCTACGTTTTACAGATGTCAAAGCAGACTCGGAGTTTAGGTCAAATTCACACAGCTCTACCCAATTCCAAAGTTCATATTCTTAACCACAATGACAACTTTCTCCTCAATGAGATTGTTCCCCTTATACCCACAGCAAGTCTGAATGGCACTTTTGAGGGGGAAGGAGTCTTTGAGCAGACACTGCTAAGCTGATGTGGACAGCACAAACCCAACGCCATGGTGCCGAAGAATATCTCAGACCAGATGTTGATCAGCTTGCTAGAGGAATGTGCAAAAGATTCATTCACACGCAGACAGAAATAAGCATAAACAGCTTGAGTGAAAACTTGGAAATAACTTGCATACTCAACAATTAAATAATGATTAAATAAAACACAGTATATTAAGCAATGGGCATAATCAATAGGCAGTGGATATACAGATTTCAGGTAGGGTGTTTGCTAATATAGTATGATCTGATTTTTGTTAGAGAGAAGTTGTGTGCATTTGCATATAGGAAAAAGATTGAAATTAAGTACTCCAAAAATACATCAGTAATATTTGGATAAGATTATTACTGTTCGTGTTTTTCTTTTATTTTCTTTGTATACTTATCTGTTACTTCTCTTTTTTTCACAGCAGGGTGTCCACCTTAGTTGATAGTGTTTTTGTGTAATTATCAAGGTAGAAATTCAAACCACAGTAGAACAGGAACAATCCCATTAGTCATACCTAACTACGAAGGGATTCATCAGTTGCTTAGTGGGAGAAGAATAGGAAATTCATACTAGAATCCTATTTCACCATTTATAATTGGTTATATATAATTAGACCTAAGCTAACTGTGTTACAAAACATACTAGGAGGGGAAATGAAATGGCATCAAGAATGAAAAGGATGCTGACAAAGGGACTTCAATTCCATCTCGTCCTCTAACTTTGTATCCTTGAATGGCCTTACTTCTTCATCTATAAAATGGACATCAGAAATCCTATTTATGGTGTTTTACTGTGAAAAAAAAATAAGATGGCATATGTTAAGCAGTTAGCACTCAACAAATAGTAACTATATTACATCCCCAGAATTATTATTATAATATAACCCATATATATATACGGCAAGAACACGGCCGACACTATGAGCCTCCTCCACAGGACTGAGCAGAGAGCAGATCTTCACTGACTGCTGGGTTGGGACAGGCACCACAGCCTTGCTGCGACATGGGTGGAGCATGGCTTTGCAGTCTTGCCAAGTTCAGGACTCTGCACCAGCACTGACTCCTGCTTAGGGAACATCTCAGGATCTTTATTTCTTCATTTGGGGACAATTTTGGTGATGTAAGCTATAAGGATTAAATTAAATTAAATCATATTTGGGAAAACACTCTTTGAACTGTAAAGTTGTCAGCTTCAGCCCTGCCTTCCCCAGTTTGCAGAAACCCATTTCTTGAGGCATAGTTCACATCAAAGTTACCTCTTTCATCACCTCAGCCCATCCATCTAAGGGCTTCAAACATGTTCTCAGACCTGGAATCTTAACGGGGGGCAAACAGTACACAGCCTAGTGCATAATACCAAGATCAAACTGAGTGGGACAACTATGGGAAACTCTAGGACATCCCCTAACCTACCAGCATATCCCACATACATATTTTCTTTGCCTTCACTGCCAACCAGACCAGGACCCAACATCCCAGGACCAAACAACAGCACCATTTATGGAGTGTGTTCTGTGTTCTGAGCCTTATGCTGAGTATTGTACTTGCATTGTTTCAATTAATCCTCACACTAGATCTAAGACAAGTAATCTTATCTCCTTTTTACAGATGGGAAAACTGAGGCTTAAGGAAGTTTAGGACAAAAGTTAAGGAACTAACGGTTCATAAATGATGGGCCAGGGTTTCTATTCCAAGTTTATCTGACTGTGATCTTGGGTACTATGATGCCTCTGTAAGAATTATTTTGCAGATGAGTCCCATGAAGGAAACTGACCTACCTACAGTCACATAGCTAGTAAGCACCAAAACTGGGATTATAATCTATGTGTCTTCAAGTCCAAAGATATGCTCTCCCTGTGATACTACGCTACCTTCCCCAATCCCGTAAGACTAGTTTCTGCCCAAGTGTCCCTTCCCTGAGCCCAGAGCCTGCTGTTGTCCCTAGCCTATTGGTGAGTGGCCCGGATCCATGCCTAGCTCTTCTTAGTTTCTTTCCCTGGAATCTGGGTTCCAGATTTTGTCCTTGCTGATGGGACACTTGCTGAGGAAGGAGAGATCTTCCCAAAAGATGACAGATCCCTACTTGGTTCCACAGAATGCAAACAGAAGTTCTCACTTCAGACACATCTACCTTTGAGAATGACCACCAGACTAACCCATTCCCTTGGTTGCTATGTTGGATCTGTTAAGCTGCCATGCTCCAAAATGCTGAGTGGGGTCAAGAGGTTGGTCTCCAGCCTGCCTTCTTGCAATTTCATCCTCTGGCTTATTCAGGCCATGTCAGAGACCCATAATGCTCATACTCAGGCCTGAATGATAACAAATATCAGCTGTTTTTTGTTTTATGCTTGTTCATTTCCAGTGGTAAAAGTTGTATGCTCATTGTGTTATTTCCCATTGCTACAACAAACCCTTCCTCTCTATAGCAGTGCTACAGAAGCATAAAGGGAGCAGAGTTGCAGATGGAATATTGTAACTGGCCTTAAGTACAAATTAAAAATCGACCTAGGTGGTCAAGGGATGCTACAACAGGATTAATTTGCAGATAAAGGTGCTCATTCAAGCTGAAGGATTTAACAGAAAAAAAAGCAGACTAAGAAATAGAATATTTAAACACTTCAAGTCATTTGCTTGGAAAGACGTTCTGCATCTTGTTGGAGGAGCGAGTCATCTTCCTGTGTGAAGTGTTCAAAGCTCACTTCCGGTGAGTAATGAGAGGGGCATTCAGGTCTGGATGCAGCCACTGTGCACGTGGTGAAGTCCACAGCACTACAGCTTCCTCTTCAGAAAGCAGAGGTGCTGCCTCTTAGGCCTCATAATTCTGGGCTCTTCTCCAGGCCACAAAACAACCAGAGTTTCTAAGGGGCATATGCTGATGGCATCTGCCAGCTCTCTATCCAGTGCAACTATGGCTGTCTGTGACTCACAGTAAGCTCCACCGGAAGCCTTTTCCATGTGTTTCTGTGCAGACTTTGTTGGCTGAAATTCGTGCCAGTCCCGAGAAAGGTCTGTGGTTCTGGCAGGCAGCAATCATGTGTTGGAGAGCTGTAAGGACCCAGCCTTAGTTCAGGCTGTAGGAGCAGAAAGGGTAAAAACACAAGCCAGCACACACTGATGTGTGTAGTGAATGGGCCTGGACTACCTCAGTAGGCTGGAAAATACATACCAGTAGGTCTGGGGGAGAATGTACATCATACACACAGAAGGCTACTCATTTTCTAAGCCAACAATGGCATTTCAAAAAAGACAGAGAAGACCCCATTGCTCTGAAGCAACAAATCGGGTAGGACAATAAGAGACTTGTGTTAGAAACTCCCATTCTACCTCTTATTTGGGTTAACCATAAGCCTTCAAATGACCCCACAGAAGCAGCCTGCAAGGGAGATGGTGGAGATGTTATCACTTCTACTTTTCACAGGAGGAAACTGAGCTTCCGGAAGGTTAAGTTGCCATAGATCACACTGATAGTCAGCAGCCCCAGGGGATTTGAACCCACATCTGTCTGACTCAAAGGCCATGCTCCTACCTGCTTCAGAATTCATCTTGTTCTGATAAATTGTTATTCAAAGTCACCTGTGTTCAATGCTGGAACCAAACACCCTTTTGGGGTACCGAATAAAAGAAAGAAAAGGAGAGAAAAAAGCAGTCTTAGCTTTGCTGCTTTTAAACAATGTGGCCTTAAACAAGTCACTAATAACCTCTCCAGCCTCAATATTTAATTCTGGGATCACTTTGACGAGTTTATCAGGGGAGATTCTTTTGTGCTATTTCCTTTATTGACCCTGAAAAAGTACAGTTTTCTCACTCAGTCATTATTCATTGATTCCTTCAGTCTGTAAACATCTACAGACTACTCAGTGGCAGGCACTAGGGCAGAAGGATAAATAAGACATGGTCCCTGCCATCAAAGAGTCATGGTCTGATGGGAAGAAAGGCCTGTAAAAACAGTCCACAGTCACTCTCTGAAATTACATCTTAGGGCCTTAGGGCTATTTTCACTGCATGGCACTGTTGGGTGACTCATCATAAATTTAGAGCTGGAGAAGAATGCTGAGATTATTCTAATCCAATCCCTCATGTTATGGTGGGAAAACAGGCCCAGAGAGGTGAAGGTCACAGGTAGGAAGAGGTAGAAACTGGTTCTGCACCCAGATCTCTTGACTTCCATGTCTTGCTAATTTTCAGCAGTTATGAGATATCCAAATCTTTTCCTTGGTTTTATTCTCTCTACCTCCTTCCATACTCTACAGTTTCATTCAACTAGGTGTAATAATGGAAGACAAGGACGCTGAATAAACACGAAACTTCTCCGTGGAACACTTGAA